GTTTTTGAGGATGAAGGTGATGTTTTTAATAGTTTTTTAGTGATAACAATGATAGTTATCTTAAGGATGGGAACTTGAGGTAATATGGTGGATGGTGACTTTATTGTGCCTTTGCAGAAGATTTATGTAGAATGCCTAAGTGAGCCTTTCTTCCTCTCCTTTCTTTCTACCCCTTATCACCCCTACTCCCTTCCTTCATGTTGGGGATTAAACCTAGGGTCTTGAGGTCTGAAAGGTTAGCATTCTACCATTGAGTTTGTTTCTTGAAGTCTGAATGGCTTAATATTGCTGTCAAGTTCTAAGAGTATAGTTAGTTCTGTGGAATAAGGTACTTTACTTTATTATTTAGGTTTATTCAGGGATAGAATGGATAGATTTGATTTGGTTAGAAGACTTTATCAGGAAGCTAGGTAGACCAGCTTTACCCTACTCTATCTCTTATTGCAAAGGTTGCCACAATAGTCTCAGTTTTGGAACCTTATCTTTGTAATATAGGCCCCAATTTTTTTCTCAGGCTGTGGTTTTTGCAAATAATTAGGTCTTCACAGACCCTACTATGACAAAATCCACTGAGTTGAGGAGACATATCTGTTCCTTTTCAGTGGCCTATAATATTGAGTTGTTGACAGTTGACAAGGAGTAGCACCATAATCAGTAGCATTCATGAAATCAGAGGGGAACTTAACAGCATTAAATAGCTGCATGAGAAAAGAGGAACAAACTAAGGTTGTTATTTTAATATGCCATTGGCAAGGGAGAGAGTCAGTTTTCTTCAGGGATGGGCCCCTGTGAAGTGACCCATGCTCCAGTAGATGGTCCTACACCCATGCACATAAAGGGCAGCTCTAAGTGAACTCAATGGGTTTTAAATTTTTTTTAAAAAGGACATGAAATTGAAAGGGAAAAGTGATAGTGGTGGGTAGATAGGCAGATAATTGGAGGGGAAGAGAAAGGATTGATGAAAATGCATTATATATATGTTATGAAATTCTCAAACAAACAAAAATACTATACTATAACCTAGCAGAAAGAAATTTGGATGATGAAATGTCTGAGTAGGAAAAGATGCTTGCCCTCCAGCCAGACAACCTGAGTCCATTCCCCTGGACTCACATAGTACAAAGAGAGAAGCAACTCCTGCAAGTTGTCTTCTAACCTGACCTTTATATTCAGACACCTGCCACCCCCCACCCCACCCCATCTCCTCTTACCTCCATTACACACACTTCATGTTTTCTATTAGCAAATGAAAAACTCCATTCATCTTAACACCTCTGAGCTGGTTGCCAGAGAAATCATACCTCATTAGAGTATCAGTAATCTAGAATTCTTCCACTCAGGTGTGCTAAAGAAAGGGCCCACTCCCTTTCCTTTGAACATGGTTTTGGGTCGGAATATGCCCAGGTTTCTTGGAATGGGATTTTCACTCTCAATTTCTGTTTCTCTTACACACTGCTTAAGAATGTCAAGTAGTGGTTTCTCTTTTCCTCATCAGTGGGAAATGCTTGGTTTTCTTCATCAAACTTAGTTGTTCACAGCCCTTGGATGCAAGTTACACTTTGGCTATTTCTGGGCCTCACTCAGCACAATGACCCCACTGTGGATAACAGCATCCTCCAACAGGCTGATTCTCCAAGGGTTTTACAGTGTGTAAAAGCAGAAGCTAGATCCTCGCAGCAGGCAGCAGTTAGCTCACATGCCTCCAATCCAGGATTTTCTGACTGGCAGTTGGGAAGTTCCACAACTTCACAGGACAGCTTTACACCGTGTCCTCTAGTTTATTTTCTGAAATCTGTGGACTTCTCAGATTACTAATGTTGTTGAGGACTGCAGCCAAGTATTGATAACCACTGGGTAATGATTATGGTTGGCAGATCATGGGTGCTACTAGGGTGTGGGGTGGGCAGCCTCGCTCAGCTTTGCCCATGTACACTGGCTCTACCTGTGTAATTCTAGTACTGTATGGGCAGCCAGGTGGACTCTGCCCTGCCAGTGTCCCTGGAAGCCCCAGCCACCTAGGCTCTGCCATCCTACTTGCCAAATTCCAAGTTTAGAAATTCAAGATCAATATAGAAGTGCCTATGGTCAGGTAAATATTCATCTTGTATGGTAAAATTCCTTACATGGTTCATTACATGCATTGTGACTCTTGTGTACTCTAGTTGTGAAGCTAGTTGCCTGAGGCTAGCCTCATTCTGTTACCGTCACCAATCTTTTTTCTCAAGACCATCACTATGAGCTATCTTGTCATATTCCTTCTTGTATGTATCAAAACTCATACTGAACAATGAGTTATGAATTGCTAAAGAGCATCATTTATAAGAAATTCTTGTTTAAATTTATTAATTCATTTTGTGTATGAGGTTTTGACTCTGTGTATCTAAGTGCACCTGTGTTGTGCAGTGGCCACAGAGGCTCAAGGAGGGGGTCACCCCGCTCACCTGCAACTAGAGTCAGAGATAGTTGTTAGCTGCCATGTTGGTGCTGGAAACTGAACTAGGGTTCTCTGCAAGAGCAGCCAGTGCTCTTAACCTCTGAGCCATATCTCTAGCCCTATATGAAATTCTTAAAAAAATATATAGATGCATTATAAAAATGAGATCAGTTGATGTCTAAGGAGGAGATGTTAGGCTTCAGAGCCATGAGGGAACCTCCTGGAGGAATGACAGTTTGGATATATTGTAATGACCCAATTCAAGGATTCTGAAAATAAAATGTCTATATTTCACTATGTAGAATGGCACACCTACCTAGAATTCCCATAACACTTCTGGGATGCTTGGATTTTATAAACATGGCAACACCTGAATTTTCTTATTATATTTCAGTTATTAACATGAACCACAAAGCCCATTTCTGTGCTTCTCTTGATTAAGAAAATTTTTTTTTTTTTGGTCTTTTTGAGACAGGGTCTCCCTGTAGCCCCAGCTGTCCTGGAACTCACTATGTAGACCAGACTGGCCTTGAACTCACAGACATCCGCCTGCCTCTGCCTCCCAAGTGCTGGAACTACAGGCATGTGCCACCATGCCCGGCTGATTTAGAAATTTTTTACATTTTAATTGATGACATGATTAACCCTCAAAATCTAAAATGTTGGCCGTCTAGACTTTGACAGAAAGGTTTTCTAACCTCTGTTGTTGCTTTTTAATCAGCAGACTGTCCTTACTGAGTCAACCTCCTAAAACTAGTGTAAAAGATCTTTTCAAGTGTTTGGAGTATTAGTGAATATTAACTACACAGTTTCATTTTCTTTCCTCTGAAGACAAAGAGGTAATGTTAAGTTAAATGGTATATTAGTTAGTTCCCAAGGAGAGCTGTATTTTCTGTGAGCAGGACTCTTGTCTTCCAGCTGGCATGATTCTAATGGTAGTTAAAGGTATGGAATAGCCTGAATACCTGCAATAGTGAATGCATGTGCAATGTGAGGTCCCTTTGTCCGGTCGGCAAAAACTGCAGGGCACACATACCTTTAGTTCCAACACTCAGCAGGCAGAGGCAGGGGGAATCTCTGTGACTTTGAGGCCACCCAGGGCTACACAGTGAGACCTCACAATGAGACAGGGAACTAGACTTTTTTCTAGTTCCCTGTTTAGAACTCCTAATGCTAATTACTGCTGCTTTTACTTCTCCTTCACAGCTCCTATTCATGATTCAAGGACTTTCTTTTCCCCGTAGAGATAAGAGTTTTGCATTTGGGAGAGTTTTAGATAGACCCACTGAAGGGGTACTCCAGTTGCCTCACCCTGTGTCCCTGTTCAGCATGGAAGAAGCCAGAGCCGTCTGTGTCCCAATTCCCTATTGGTAATTTGGATAATCTCTTCAGAGGTGGTGTGATAAGAATAGGAGGTAGGATTTGGTTAGGCAGTTAGGGTAACAGGACCCCAAAGAAAAGTAAGCAGCTTCTTGGCTATAATTCAAAATGTCCTTGCGCCCTTTAGCAACATACTCTGTTCCAAAGACCAAAAATGTCCAAAGTATTTGGGAGCTTGTATCTAATCCTTAAAAGATTTTAGAGTTACCTCTTCAGAGAGGGGAATGTTATAGAGTAACAAAACGCCCCATTAAAAAAAAAAAATAAAGAGTACATGAAGTTATCAGAAAAAAGTGATGGGGAGATATAGGAGGAGTTGGAGGGGAGAGAGCGGGCATGGATTTGATCAAAATACCTTATATGCATGTATGAAATTCTCAATAAATTATTTATTTAAAAAAAAGAGCAGGGCAATGCTAAATGTTATCTGCCTAGCAGTATAGGTAAGAAGAGCCAGTCTTATTCTTCAGCATCATAGAGAATGAGAGAGTAGTTTAGAAGGTCATTGAATGGCTGGGGATTAGCTCAGTTGGTAGAGTGCTTGCCTAGATGGTCATTGAGAGCTTATAGCATGTGTGTTCGGCTTTTGACATTGTGACACATTGTTATCTACAAATCTCACACCCCATAACCTTCCCCAAATCACAGAAACGTTTATTATTTTCTCTTGTGCCACATTCACAGCTGTCCTCCACTGTATGTGGTCTTCCAACCAGTTTGGACATACCTGCTTGGAGGGTCTAGTGAGTAACTGGTTTTGTCTTTCAGAATAAGAGGCCTGCACTCTGCTTTTGTGAAGTGTCAAGACTTTTCCCTTGTAGTGCAGATGAATTCTCATTGAACTTTAGGAGCCTTTTAACCTCTGAGCCCCTTGCCCATGGTTCTGTTAGTCTCATATACCTAATCTTACATTAACAAGTTAGGTGACCTGATCATCTCTTCATTTTCACAGTCTAAAGATGAACCCATGGTAATGGGACATATAGGACTGCTTTAGAAAAGGGTCTCTTAGGGAAATCCCACTGTGCTCATGGCATATGGACTCAAACTGAAAAAAAAAAAAAAAAAAAAATCAGTGGGAACTGTGAAAAGGCCAGGGACAGGAACCAGCAGGAGCCTGATGTAAGCCAACACCCTAAAAATCTGTGAATCTTTTTAATGTTTCTCCTTCATTCTTGTTCTCTAGGCTTATTCTGTGTATGATGAAGACATCGGGTACTGTCAAGGACAGTCTTTTCTTGCTGCTGTGTTGCTTTTGCACGTAAGTAAATTTTCATGTGATAAATAATATGATGTTACTTATTTTCTCCAGCATTTTGCTATTTCTTATGATTTCCCATTTTCCTGAGGAAGATTACACCTGCCATATCTTTTTTGAAAATTTTTATTTACTATTTTTATTTTATGTATATGAGTGTATTGCCTATGTGTGTGTAAGTGCACCTGTGTTGTGCTATGCCAGCAGAGGTCAGAAGAAGGTGTCAGATCCCCTGGAACTGGAGCTACAGATGGTTGTTAACCACCATGTGGTTTCTGGGAATTGAAGCCGAGTCCTCTGCAAAAGCAGTCCATGCTCTTAACCACTGAGTCATCTCTCCAGCCCACTGGCATATCTTCTTTAAAAAGTATGTCTTGGGTGATAAAGTAAAAGATCTGATGTCAAAGACAGGACAGTTTTTCAATTAGTTTTGCTGACTTAGAAGCAAATACAGTGCTTATTTGGAGTTATTTTTAACTAAAACTATCTAAAATACAGAAATCAATGTAACTGGCTAGCTATCAGAATTTGATACCGTGAACCACTGTACTATAACAAGGAAATCTCTTAGCTTTCCTGAGATTTATTTACATATTCTCCTTTCTATCAGCCACTTTCACTTAACAGAACATTTTTTGAGCATCACTTGCCAGGTCCAGAGCTAGAAAGTGAGATTACAAAGATGAATCATTTGTAATTTGTGCTCTCAAATACCTTACAGTTCAGGATGGGGCATAGATGATGCACATACAAACTTACTATTTTCAGTATCCTCTGTTCTCATTGATTTTTTTGTTGTTGACAAAAATAATCCTTGGTCACTGGAGAGCTTAGTGTTCTAAGTCAAAAAGAAGCACTGTGCAAGATAGTAGACAGGAGACTTGCCCAATCCATTTCTGTGACAACATTCAGGAAACACTTTCTGCAGTAGGTGGCTATTTTGGCAAGACATAATAATTATAAAGTTGAGGAAGGCAGGAGAAACAGAATTGAAAGTTGTAAACAAAAGAAATAGGAGTAAGAATGTGGAGATAAAATTGGCAGGGGCCACATAATGAGGACTAGGCAATTTAAAATGGCTTTCTTCTCATGCGAATAAGAAAGGGTTGAGCCCAGCCCAGGAATAACACAGGTTCTGTTTGTATGGAGGGTGGAATTAGAGAGAATGATTAGCAGCAGCAGAGGGGCCAGTTAGAAAATTGCAGTCTCTGTGAGATGTTGGAACTAAGAAAAAGAAGGAATAAAAAGCATTCAGGAAGCAAAATTGTGGATGGATTAGCAAAGGAAAGGTCAAAGGTAGCATGTGCAATTTTCTAGCTTGGTGACCTAATGGGTTTTGATACTTTGAGCTGAAAAAAAACAAAACAAAACAAAACAAAAAAAACTACTTTCAATAAGATTGAATGGAGGAAGAAGTTTAGAGCTGATGATGAAGTTTGTTTGGAATTCTTTAAATTTGGGATTTTCTAGGACATCTTTTAGAGGTCTTATTAGTGGGTGAACCATGACCCACAAAGCCTGTTTCTGTGCTTGTTTCAGCAACTAGTTGGAAACTAGAGGCTGATAATTGGGGATTCATCAAAGCCGAAATGATGTGAGGAGATCAGATCATTTAAATGTCTGAGAAAGACGTGGAAACCTTTTCCTGAAGGACGAGGCAGTGCATAGTGTGGATGCATCAGAGAGGCCTCAAAAGTTTAAAACTAAAGCACTCTTGAGTTGGGCACTCTGAAATTGAGCACTAGTAGTAGATTGATGTCTTCATTCTGATTGCCTCAATTAGGAAAAGTGATAAAGGCTGGTTCTCTTCACTTTACCTCACTTTGAGGTTGATTTCTCCTGCTGATGGATTATCATCTATTTATGATTCTGTGAGTCTTCTTATTTCTCTTTTCTCTTTGGTATCTTCACATCCCATCTTCTTGGGAAGCTCAGTGATATCAAGCACTTTATAATCACACATTCTAAGGAATCCTTCTTCTAGCACTGAACCCATCTAGTATCTAAAATGGTCAGGCCCCTCCCTCAGGAGATTGGATACTGTGAGCAGTGGCATGAGTGTGCTTGGCAAGGCCAAGAGACATCTTTCTCCTAAAGGAATCTTTATAATCACTATGATAAGAATTAACATTCAAGCCATGAGAAGTACTGCTTTGTTTTGTACAAAATAATTCTTAAATATCCTATATCTTAATCTTTTTTTACCTTTGTTGTGTATCACTTTTCCTAGGGAGATGTGAACATCTGCCTACCTCAGATAGGGCATCAATGACAGAACCAAAGTAATGATTCTGTCAAAATCCAGCTTGGTAACCAATGCGTTTATTGGGGTTACTTACAGGAGTGTGGTTGAGGGTGTTACTTACAGAAGCATGTATAACTCATAGTCAGCTGCATCACCAAAATTCATTCCAGCATAAGTGACAACTCACAGAATGTGCATCCCTAGAACTCCTCCACAGCTTGCAGTTGGTCATAGTCTTCTTCCTTGTTACTGCTTATATAACCTTGGGAGCTTCCAGTCAGTTTGATAACTTCCTGAGCCTTGTAAGACTTCTGAGTTTCATTTACTTCCTTAGTCTTAGAAGACCTCACTTCAGAGGATGGACTGTTTGAATGTAGAGGAAATTACTACACATCAGAGCTCTTTCTAAAAACATACTATATATAGTTGTGCTGGATAGCTTTAGTTAACAACTTGACATATCTGGGTAGAGGGAGCCTCAGATGGTGAATTGCCTCCATTGGACTGGCCTGTGGCCATGTCTGTGGGGCATCTTCTTGATTATTGAGTGATGTGGGAGGGCCCAGCCCACTGTGAGTTATAGGTGGTGCCACCCCTGGGCAGGTTGAGCAGGGGCCAGGGGAACAAGATAGTAAGCAGCTTTCCTCCATGGCCTGTGCTTCAGCTCCTGCCTCCAGGTTCCTTCCCTGAGTTCCTACCTTGGGCTCCCTCATGGTGAACTGTGACCCAGGATATGTAAGCCAAATAAACCCTTTCCTCCCCAAGTTGCTATTGGTTAGAGTATTTTGTCACAGCAACGGAGAAACAAGCTAAAACAATAGTATATGGATTAAAGTTGAAAGAGAACAGTATCTCTAAGAAATCTCTTCTGAGATTTATGGGAGGTTTATAAACGATTATCTTCAAATTTGTAATTATTGGGAAATATACTCTGTCCTCACTGCCTAAGGACATCAAGAGTGATTCAAATAACTAGCAAAGTCAAATAGATTTTTTTCACACTGCCTATTCTACAGTAATTAAGGTTGAACAACAAGTCAGCCTTTGTGAACTTAGCTAATCAGAAGCACCTAAAGTATGTTCCAAGATGGATATCACGAAAGTTTCTTATACTCTTTAAATTAATTGACTTATATTGCTGTGCCATGGATTTTAAAAATAACTTGAAATACAGAAATGCTTTCAGGATCCTTTAGAAAGATTAATTGATATTCAGCGTAGTGCTAATGAAAGTATATTTGATTGCATTATTTTTGATAATTTAATCAGCATATTCTATTAACCTACCAACCTGTCAGCCAATTTGAATAACAGAGTCAACTGAGAGGTGTTTTCCTGTACTTTTCCTCTTTTGTTTAAGCCAATAGAAGACTGTAGGCTAATTTCAACAATTCATCAAATACACTGTCTTGGGGTCCAAGGAAGTGTGTTGTTAGGGTCTTGCTGACTAATTTTTTATCAGTTACATAAGCTGTTGCTTCTCTTTGCTGCAGATGTCCTTTGGCGGCTTCATATTAATCACTGTCAGAGCCTGCTTCTTTTTGGACTACTGTCCTTTCCTTACCCATGATTATTTCTTACATAAGACCAAAAATGAAAATATGTTACAAAATAATATTTTGAATTTTCAACTTTTCCATGTCTAAATAGCTATTTTAAATAATTAGATTCTTCAGTGCTGATAAATTTCCAGGTGCTTTGGCAGTAATTTTGTAACATTTAGTAGTTTAAGAAGTGCAAGAATTATCACAATAGTGGCTATTATATCCATTTTTGAATTATAAGAAATTTACTTATATTTAGAGGGAAATATAGCATGGGTGGCTTATAACCATTACAATCTTCAACTGCTTTTGAAATTTAGTATACAATAATCTTTAATTTTATCATTTTACTATTAATCTACTCAACTGGAGGTATAATAAATGATATCATTTTTATGGAAATTCTATATACTTTTAGTCTAGTATTAATTTTTCTTTTAAAAAATATTTTCC